ATTCTGTGGGACATTTCTTATGTGACATATTCAATTGCAATTGAAGAAGATATTTCGATGTGTCAGAATAGCTTTAATGGAAAGCAGCCACCACGGCCTGAGCACCTTCACTGCTCCAGCAGAACTCGTGAACATCCTCCACTTAAAGCCAGGAAAGATAAAGCTTGGACTGGTTCCTTATTCAAGAGTAAATGGCACAGACGGCTGAGGCAAGACAAATTGGATTTGTTGGCTGGCGGTCAAAAAGTATCATCACATTGGTTATTTTTGTCTGTGAAAATCTTTTTCTCACCCTTGCAGTGGACAACTTTTCCAGGAAAAGTCTTGGGTCCGGTCAGCCAGCTGTGACACGTAATGTTTGCCTATGGCCAGTGATATGTGATACAGTATTTCCATCATAATTTACAAATAAAATGAATTAGTATTACAAATAGCATAATACCTGCTCTTGACCATGACTTCCATGCTTCATGCTTCAGCATAGGCCAACAAACCTCTTCCACATATATCTTGGTATGACAGACCTTGAACCTCAGAACGTCCAAAGATCTATACATAATTTGAACTCTGCATACATACTGTTGTTGTTTTTTATTAGAGCCTGATAAATGTAAACCCATGTTACATTTTCAAGATTTAGACACCTAAGTTCCATTCTTTTATAAATATTAGCTATTATTGAACATACATGAGTTATTTTATTATTGACTTTTTATAATCCATACCCAGGGTGAATGCCAGAACCTTAACAGCTGTAGGCCTCCCACTCTTTTTGTGGAATCAATGAGAATCATCTGACAGTGAGTTGTCCTGATTTCAAGATTACACAGATTTAATTTCCTATATGTATAAAGATTGTTAGATATGGAATTTCATGTATTTGTATATACACATTAATCTTTGATATATAAACATAATTATATATCAAAGATTAATGTGTGATGGTTCTTCCAGCCATGGAGTTTGACAACTCTGGGCCCGGGATTCGGGTGCAGAAAATTCCTGCACAGAATCTGGTGGTTCGGCTCTTCCATCGTGAAATTCACCGAAAGCCTCGACAGCATGAGCACAGCAACCGCTACTTCAACCAGAACATCACACCAAATTTTACAGTAACCAATGTTCAGAAGCCTCCTTGTTTCTTGCGGAAATTCAGCCCAGATGGAAGGTAAGTATGTAATGATTTGCATTTTTTAAACTCTAAAGGACTGAATTCCATTTGATTTTTTCCAAATTTTGAAACATAGTTTTAGTAGAATTCAAGAAAAGTTTACAAAAAATAAATATGAAAGTTTGTATTCATTCATTATCATAAAAAATTAAATGTATATGAATTTGGTAACTATTAATTACAATGAAGTTTCATACTATGAAATTACTTTTAGGTTTGTTTTGATTCCTTTGTAGTCTAGCATGACATGTAGGCTAATATAAACAGATCTATATATGTAACATAGAATACCATCATGCAAAAGGAATATCTTCTGTTTTATTCAAGGCCAATCCTTAAACATTTTCAGAATGATAAGATATGTTTTAAGATTATTCTTTTAGTTTCCTAGATTTTTTTTTCAGGTTTCTTATTGCATTTTCATCTGATCAAACAAGCATAGAGATATACAGGTACATGGGACCATCTGCTGCTGCTGATCTTCTGCACTGGTGTGAGGTAGTGTAAACAAAAAACAACATTGATAAGTGAAAGAATTTTGTTACTTTTTGTATTAGTACAAAATGTTTACCAATGGGAGATAATAAATACATTATTCTTTTTATTTCATCAAAGATGAATGTTTTTGTCATGCCTTAGAACACAATCATCACAGAATATCATATTTAAAATATGTGATTAGTGAATGAACACCAATCACCTGAGAAGAGTTAACTATCCTCCCTACTTCAGCTGTTATCATAGATTGTAGAACTTTGTTAGTAATAATTAAGTCAGTATACTTCCAGACTCAGTAAAACCTTAATTGATATTCTATTTTCAAGGGAACAAGTGTGTTGAAGGAGAATGAGCAGAAGACATTTGAAATAAGAAGAAATATCTTTGATCGCTTCTTCAAGCTCTCACATACAGTCAGTGTGGCAACTAACTGTGAACAACTCAATAGAGAGTGTAGTTTGTTCACAGATAATGGCAA